CCGAGGATCAAATGGTCAGCCCTTCAAAAACACGAAAGGGAAACATCCTAAATTTTATTTGTGTTTCAATGGGATAAATAAGACAACACTAGTATTATAATACTAATCATACTTTGCAAATAATGATTCTCTTTATTTCTTTATCGCTAGCCAAGTCTTCTCTTTAAATACCGTAAATCTGAAATTTTTTGCTGTAGATAAATTTTTAGCAATTTTGCGAGTCCATTGGATTCGCAAAAATATTTTTCTAAAAAATAAATCACCAATAAGAAATTTAAACAAAGCAGTGGTCATTCGCAAAATTTTAAAACGTAAAAATTAATCAAAAGCATTTTGACCCAAATTCGAAAATAAAATCGACGTAAAAATTTTCAGATTTACGGTATAGTATTCTATTGATTTATGAAGTCATAATCTATTTCTCTCGAATATTCGTTTTATTTTTATTTATCTATTTTTTATATATAGATCTTAAAGTGAATCTTTAGTTTTTAAATAAGAAAGAGAGTTCAAAAGTTGTTTTATTTATCATCTATATTATTCGTCAAGTCCCTTGAATAGCCCGATACCTATTGTGACGTTGCTGACGCCATAAATACGAGTTTGACGTCGTCAACATATCACAGTTGTAGCCTACTTCAAAATATGCCCACCAGCAAGATATAAATTTTATCACTCGATTCAAATGAATGCTTAAAAATAAACGCATAATTAATGAACTTAAATCTTGAATAGATCAAGACTTAATACTTTTGATGGGACATATATGACCCCTGTGGCAGCCAGTGGGTAGAGCCCATATATGACCCCTCTGTCATAGAGGGTTAAGGCCATTGAGCAGTGAGGGATTTTTTTTGTACCAGGACCTGCTGCGACGCGGGACCTCGATTTATACGGTCTCATACGAAGGACTGGTCTCCACGTCCCATACACGTATGATTCGAACCCGAGATGCAAGTATTAACTCCTTACTACGCGACTCTAGCGCAGACGCTCTGACCACTGCGCCACGCGGGCGACCAGTCAAACAAATACCTACTAAGTATTGACAAGAACTCATTCAATCAATTTATTAAATAGGGGATACCTTTTTTCAAGTACTAGTATATCATTTACTATTGAAAACTTAAACTGAAAGGCTGGTTCCCCTTTCCCACTCATTTTTGTTTTAGCATTAGAACATTAAATCGACTATAGTAAGAGCTTTGGTATGATCTATTTTTTTAAAAAAATAAGGTTGAGAAAAGGTGAGGAACTACCCCCTACCCCCACCCCCCATTTCTCCAATCAAACAGGATTTTCAAGTTTGAAGACTTTGTCCACTGTTCGTCAAGGTTTTTTTCAGGTAAGTTGAATTTAATATATGGATGTCTCTATTTCAAATATTAAAATGAGGAGTGCATTTTTTCCCCCAGTTGTAAATCTTTCTCTCTTTTCTCTCTCTCCTCGATATCTTTTTACTAAATCATATTTAGAAAATAAAAATACTCAGGTTGTCTCTCTTAGGTTATATCTGACACGATACATCGATTATGTAAAAACTTACAAGACTGTTGATGGGGAGGAAAAACTTTTATAATTTACAGTTTGATAAAAGATAATATATATACACTGACAGAAAACAAATGTATGACACATACTTTCATGTAATTCCAAAAACAGGTTCATTGTAAGGTAATACCTGCATGTAGATTGCATAGATTTTTTAACACTGAAAAATTCGTTTTTTTCGTAATATTTCTTAACACATTGACATCTTATATCAATAAATTGAAAACATTTAAAATGAAATGAAAATCCTCACCATGTCTAATTTGTTACTTTATCTCTTTTGTCTCTGTTTACTCGTTCGTTCGTACCCCCCCCCTTTTTTTTGGGGGGGGGGGGTTCGACCTTTCTTTGACTTCCTTGTTTAAAAAAAAATCCAAGAATTATATGTATATATATTCATGCTATTTTAATTTCCTCCCTTTATTTGGAAATCTAATAGGCCTAAATAAATTTCGAGGTTTGAGGCTAAATTCTAGAACACTCTGGAAGAGACTGGAGCTTATGTAATGTCTTACTAGTATATCTTAGGCTTATGTAATGTCATATGATCTTCATAAGGGGTGGGGGCATAAGCTCCAATTATTAAATTTAAATTTGGTATTAGGAATGTTAATTGATCATTTTTGTGAAACATCAGTGGTAAAATAATGGATTGGCGAAAAGCAAACAAGTATTGTCTCTCTAAATGAATCGCAATATTCACAACAGTCGTAATAAAATACGCACATATAAATACAACGTAGTTAGAATCACATGATAGTTAAATTCAATGTGCAGAAAGTTCTGGAAATTTTATTTCTGTATGTAGACATGAGTGAAAATAGAATGAAGACTTCGATCATGTTTAATTCAGCTTTATCCCATCGTCTCAAGCTCAATTCTTTTTGTGATTAACGTTTCTCAAACACAAGTCAAACGCCAAGGTTAAGTCAAAAGTTCGAATTTGCGCTTACCAAGGGAAAAGATTTGTGTTATTAAAACTAGTGAAATGTGAATTATAAATAAACAAGCACCAACTGTTTAAAAGTCATGGCCAAGGTTAAAGTTTTTTTAATGGGTCAACTCTAAGGTCAATGTCAAATTTTACAAATACTTATGCCAATGGAAAGGTCTTCAGTGTCACAGTGAATACAAATGTAAATTAAAGCCCTAGCATCAACTGTTCAAGGTTTGAGAGTATTGATAAATTCTTTCTCTTTTTTTTTATTGCAAAAGTGGGTTAAACTCCAGTGTCAGGTCAAACGGTCAAATGTTTAAGTACCCAATGAAACGTCTTGTCACAAGAAATACGGATACCTGTGAAATATGATAGTTAAAGCTCAATTGAATCAAAAAAAAAAAAAATAAATAAAAATAAAAGTTCCCGTGGACAAAGAGACAGACAGACGGACAGGACAAAATCTTTGTACAACCGAATATTCGATGACGGACTGTAAAAAGGAATAACTGCATTAAAGTGAATTGGAAAATTGAAAGGCGGGTCAAAAAGTTGTACAATTTAAACCATCATATGTACGTTGACTTATTGATGTTTAATTTCCCTATCGAGAAATTTTTCCCTCATATGGAGAAGCCCCCACTTGCTGATGGTGAGTTGCAAATTTTGTCCTATAATCGGCACTAGGGCTATTGAGCAGGGAAGAATCTTTTGTGCCAGTACCGCGACTCCATCTTCGCGAACCACGCTCAAATGCACGATTCTCGTCCATTTGTTGGAGAGAGCTGCATGTGAACTCCGCCACGGGGCCGTGGCATGAGACGATACTGCGATCGACACGGGACCTCAGTTTATATGGTCTCGTCCGAAGGACCATTTTCCACATCCCATACACCTATACGATTTGATCCCGAAACGTAAAGATTTATCATTTTAAATCTCCTTACTCTAAAGCAGACGCTCAAACCACTTCGCCACGCGGGCGACCATGCAACAAAAACATATTGAAAAGATGACTTTTCATTCAATCAGCATTTATTCAGCACAGATTAGCGGGGGTTTACTGTTTTCCAAGTACTGTAGTATATCATTTGCTATTGAATATTTTTCCTGAAAGGCTGGTCCCCCTCCCCCCACTCACTTTTTACCTTGCATTAGTACGTTTATATATAGTCATAGTAATTTGGAATAATTTTTTAAACGTTAGGTTGAGAAAAGGGTTAGGAATTGACCCGAATTTCCCCATCAAATAGGATTTTCAAGCTTGAAGGCTTTCTTCTGTTTGTCAATTTTTTTTTCAGATACATGTAAGTCGATTTTTTTCTGGATGTCCCCCTTTCAAAAATTACACGTTCCTGACACATTAAAAAGGAATCGAAATTACAAATGAGCAGTATATTTTCTCCAAGCTGAAAATAAACATCTCTCTCTTTCTCTCTCTTGTTCTGATTAACTTATTGCTAAATCAATAAAAATAAATGACATGAAGGGATTTTGAATTCATTATAGTCCCAATAATTAGAACATTTAGTAAGGTGCATGCAAAAATTAGTCTGTTTTCAATCGCCGGTCTCATGATGAGGAAGAAATTCCTAGATATATATACACATGTATATATATATATATATATGATATATAATTTCAATTTCCAGAGTTTGTCATTCTAGTGCTTTATATCTACCTCTATACCAGAGATTCTGAGCAACAAAAGCCAACACTGATTCGTACTGATATATGCCAGACCAAATCTAGGATCGAAGAGTGCAATCATTACAAACAAGATCCGCATTTTCATACAATTAGTGAAATTGCGCTACCGAGGTTAGTAATCTAAATAATGTAGAATTCCTTTTCCCAATGTGCATGTATATAAAGATATTTTTTGAGAATTTTTTATTTTTAATCCTACAATCCTTAACCAAATTATACATAAAAAGGGGCTCAAGGGAGTAGGGTTAATTCTGTCTTATTTTTTCACTCCTTTTTTTTTTTCGTGTGAATGTTGCACGTATTGTGTTGATGATATCGATAAATTTTATTTCTAAGATTTAAAATATTATACATATGCTCATCCTTCTTAATTTAAGAGCACATGCACCTGACGTTACTTATTTTTCTTTTAATAAAAAAAATATACCCATACCTAATAATATTAGGTATGAGAAATATTTTTTATTAAAAGAAAAATAAGTAACGTCAGGTGCCTGTGTTTAAGAGATATACAACTGATTTTCTGGAATCGGCGTCTTTTTGTTAGCTATATAGAGAATGTTTGATTTATAAATTTTCATTTTTATAAAATAAATGTTTTCTACAGTTGCAATTCAAAAAGTAACGATGCTCAGAAATAATACTTTATATCGGTCTACAATATTTTTTGCTAAATATATTTTCAAATAATTAAAAACTTTTTAAAAAAATTAAAGAACGAAAATTACAACGTGTAGTTCAATGTTCGTTTTTATCAAACTCGTAAGCGAACAGGTGACTACGCATGACTTGGGGATTTCCAGTGACGTCACGGACCTGGGAATCCCAACAATCTAGTATTTTACTTTTTAAACTGGATTGACAAGCTTCAGACGATAGAAGAAGTTAAGAAACGATCATTTCATTGTGATAATATAACTGTATTTGTAGACGAATAACTACCTGGCAGTTTTTCTCAGAGATTTATAGAACTACTTGTTTGTGTAAGTTCGCCATATTTTTCAAACATGTCGACCAGGAACTTTGTCCATCCTCAAAATTTGGAAGCAGAAGATTTGGTCGAGGATTGTGCACCATATGCAGATGGACATGGAGTTTTTAAAAAAGTTGCATATGATTCAACATTCGAAAAGTTGGATTCTGTGTGCGATAGTGGTGTGGATCTAAAATCTTGTGGAAGTGCCTATGGATCTTTATACGAGAAGGGACCAGAAACTTTTGTTCTCGAAGAAAGATTAGAAAGCCTAACTCTAGAAAGCAGCAAATGCTCTACAGAGGAAACAAAATGTTCGTTAGATGATGGTTACACAAGCTACTCAAGTGCAAGTTTTGTGGACATGGTGGACATGGTGGAGGCGGATCCAACGGAGCTGGCATATAGCCAGAAATCCAAGTGCCAAATATCGAACGAAGTTCTAGAACTTTACAATCAAGATCTTGATGGAGATTCGTAAGTTATCATTTTTACATAATGCAGCTTTGATGTATTTGTGACATGGGTTCGTATCTAACGCCCTTTGTTCTTCATTGGGAATTTCCTTTAATGCGCACGCGTTCAGTGAATGTGACGTGACCCCGCCGCGAGGTCAACAACTAGCTTTATGCAAATGAGTCAGACGTACTTCCCGATTTAGTTTATGAATAAACATGTTTACACAAAGCTGACCTAAATCTTGGTCAGTTGTCAATATATGGATAATCACACGAAAATAGTAATATTTCACAAGCTGACAAGAATTATTTTTAAATACTAAATAGTAAAAAAAAAAAAAAACCAAATTGATTACTTTTATAATTTTTTGTTAACCACATTAATACATATATTTATTAATAAAAATCAAAAATTCTATTTTTTCAGGCAACTGCACATGGCAATCATAAATCTGCTGGTCCCCATTGCTTTGTATATCGTAAAGCAGGCTCCCCACAGAGAATGGCTAGATCTCCCAAACAACATGCTTCAGACCCCCCTCCATCTGGCAGTGATGACGCGCCTTCCCCAGGTCGTGAAGGCGTTAATTGATGGTGGGGCTGACATTGAGGCTAGGGATTCCAAAGGGGATACACCTCTTCACATCGCTTGCAGAGAAGGTTTCGATGACATTGTCCAGATTTTACTGAGCGTCAGAAGAATCCAGGATTTGGAAGCACGGAATTATGATGGTATGCATCAACAAAAATGTTTAGGGTGAATTTATTATTTTTTTCTTTGTGTTAATATATTTACTTGTTCATAACTTGAACTCTCTATTTTTTTTATTGCAGGTCAGACCTGTTTGCACTTGGCAGCAGAGCACACCCACCTTCCAATCATTCGTCTATTGGTTCTGTCAAGAGCCAACCTTAACACACAGGTGAGAAAATGGTGTTAATTCCTTATGAAAAACAATGTAGGCATTTCAGCCAATGAGGGGCATCTTTCCTCTGAGTGATTTATGAGGCAGATGACAAATTCACTGAATACCTGTTTTTTCATTTCATAATTCATTTACACTAATTATTAAGTTCACCTGTGATTTGGAATGTAAATGGATTATTAATGATTCATGTAAATTTCCAACCTCTGTTTTTTCAGGATGGTAAGAGTGGAAAAACTGTTATCCATTACGCAGCAGAAATGGGAAATGTTTTACTTCTAGAGTTTTTACTGCAGTATCCCATCAATGTTCACTCCAGAACGTATAGTGGTCTGACGGCTATCATGTTGGCAGACGGACGGGGTTACCATGACATTGTCCAGCAGTTGCAGAAATTCGGAGGCTCATTGGAGAATGTTACATTTGAGGAGTCTTCAGATAGTGATGAAGAAATGGTAAGAAATTATAACTGTCCTTGAAATTGACTTTACAAAAATTTGTGTTCATTTGTTTTAATTAAGTCTGGTAAAATATGCATGTTGGTAATACCTTGTTGTTTGAATTTCAGAGTTGAAACAACTTGTTTCATTGAACGAGACAACAGGGTCTGCCCATAGAGCCCGAAAAACTCCCCACAAAATAGACTGTGATAGCCATGATGGCTGAGGACGAATGCCCTTACCTTCCTGCTGGCAGGACGGTGATAAACTTTATAGTCCATGGTTGTGATTTTTACATACTTTTACAAAATTACCATCAAAAATAGCTAATACACTTGCTCATCCACAGTGGAAACTCAGACATGCAGACATGGAGGAGAGGGTTTTATATGCAAGTGCTGAAAAATGAAAAAAAAATTGATATCTAATGAATTTATCATTGTATAAAATTGACAAGACTATCAGACTTGCACAAGGCCAGTAATAATTTAAAACTTTGTAGAAATCCTGTATATTTATTATTGTGACATGAATGTTGAAAATTCTGTAGTACGATAGTGAAATTGTAACATCATTGTCATTTGATGGATGTGTTTTGTTCTGTTAATTTCAAGTAAATGGAAATAAAAGGAAAAAAATCTTTCAAGGTTATTCATAGAGGAAATGATCAAACTGAACAATGCATGAACTGAGAGAAGAACTATAATTATTCTATGATAAAATCTTATCCAAGAACTGCTTCCTTTTCACACCGTAATCTTTTAAAAAAAAAAAAAAAAAAAAGCACCAATATAGAGTAGAAACTCAAGTTCAAATGCATATGCATAGATTACTTAAAATGATTTTAACTATATAATCTGTAAGCATGTTATTGTGGCCTTACGATAAGGAAACACATACAGCCAAGACCTTCACACACTTAGCAGGAAGGTCGGAAAATTAAAAATAGAATGGGGTTTTGGGGATTTTCGGTTTCAATTTGTTCTCTACTGCATCCTTAAATCAAAATCCCGTCATGTAAACCTGACTTTAAAAACAGTTGTAGTTTTTATATCTGTTAAGTAGGCACATAATGGAGAGGCACGTACTAGGAGGTGGATGCTCCATCCCATTTTTCCAAAAGGTTACTATTCTTGAAAATTTTCATTGCTTGTTTTCGGGATAATTAAAACATGGATAATGCAACAAACCTCTCAACGAAAAAGGATTTTAGAGTTGAGGGACAATATTCCCTTTTTGGCTTGACAATTTTCTGTTCAAGTATAAAGTTGTCATACAGCCCCCCCCCTTCCCTCACTTTTAAAAACGATATACTACTTTTCCATCTAGCCTGCACAGCTCATGCATCATGTCCTTGAAGTTTCTTTCCATTACGTATATAACGAAGTGACTTTCATTCCTCGTGACTTTAAAATATAAACTTTACTGATAACGAAGCGAAGTCGTTCGTCCCTGGCACTTCGTTTTAAGCGTGTACATATGAAAATAAAAACAAAACTACATTTCCCTCAATTTTAATTAAGACTGTGTATACAATTAAGATTTTTTTTACATACATGTACACTATTATATTAGATTTTCGTGAGATATGTAGGGGAAAATAACACATACTATAAATACCACAAAGAAAACATTATAAACACGGAAGTGAAAATTGTATATATTAAGTAGATATTCTGACTTTTTTTTCGTTTTTACATTATAGACATCGGTTTTCATGTTATCCGGATGCATGGGATGGGAAATACAGCCTGTTACGGGGATTTTACTTAGGTTTGGATTTGTTCATTAACGGACAATCCTGAATTCATATATACATGATGAAACTAACATCTCGGGATAAATAGGTCACCAAGTGCTACTATTTTCAAAAATCATTTTTTTGGTAATGTCCCTGGGACACTTTTTATAATACACTTAACTGAATTCAGTTAAAAACAAGCTAATTCAGAGAATTCGTGTCCCCCGCTTAAGGAAAAAGTCGGATCCCCCAGACTGAATTTGTAGAATTATTAAATGTATACATTGTACATGTATATTGAAGCAAATAAAATACATGTATGTCAATATGCGTATAAAGATTTGATTGCTTATTCTTTATTATGTGTATAGAAGATTCTTTTTATATGGAATATTTATCACACTGTAATGATGATTTTATAACCTCATAAATTTTTCTTTTCACATGCTGAATAATATCATTTTAAAAAAAAGTTTAAAAAAAAAAAAGAAAATAAAGCCTCGTCCGAGATTCGATCCCGGGACTTCTCACATGTGAAGCGGGAGACATACCACTAGACCACGGAATCGCTTTAAATATTGTCAAGTATATGCAGAAGTGAAGCCACATACATGTATATATTCATGTTCGGTATTGTCATAATTTTACACAATCCGTGGTGTTTGATTTATTTAGCCTTTATTTAACAGTTCTAATAGATGTAATAAGAACATAAAGTCCGCCGAGAACCTGTTTTATACGCAGTAACACTCCGCATGCCCCTGTGCTAAAAATAGTGACATGTAATACTATAAATACTAATAAAACAAACGGGGCGGGGAACTTTGAGAGGGGTGAGAGAGGTCCTAGGGAGTTTTGGTATAAAATTACATTGCATAAGCTCAAAATCTTCTTGAAATATCGCCCGAAAATGAAAGTGTTACACACAGACAGAATGTATAAATTTACGACCTTGAACTTTGACCTTTTGAACTCAAAATCAATAGGGGTCTTCCTTAGGCCACAGGGAGTTGATATGCAAAATTTCATTGCAATAGATTAAATGGTTCTAGAGATATCGTGTGGAAACGAAAGTGTTATAACAGACAGAATTTGCTTATTTTTGACCTTGACCTTTGATCTTTTGACCTCAAAATCAATAGGGGTCTTCCTTAGGCCACAGGGAGTTGCTATGTAAAATTTCATTGCAATAGCTCAAAGGGTTCTCGAGATATCGTGTGGAAACGAAAGCGTTACAGACAGACAGAAAGACGGACGGACGGACGGACGGACCCACGAAATGCAGGTTATGTGACTGACAAATTTATGTGACTTTTTCCAAAAAAATTATGTGGCGCAAAACATGATACATTAAGGGAGGTAAATCTCAAAACCTTTTGACGGACGTTATACGGACAATATTGTCCGTATTTTTTTATGTGACACTTCTTTAGAATGATTTTTTAAGTCACATAACACTCATTTCTGCTAAAAAAAATCAAATTTGTATGTGACAGTCACATAAAACAAAAGAGTCACATAAATCTTAAATGGGCACAAAAACTGTCACTTAACCATTATTTCGTGAGAACGGACGGACGGACGGACAGACGGACGGACGGACGGACAGACCCAAATTAATATCCCCCACTTTTCAAGCGGGGGACAAAAAACACCAGTAATATATAAAGGTTATGCAAGAGAAATTTGAGCCTTCGGTTTGTGACACGAGCAACACAGAATTGAAATATTTTGAAAATATTTTCGACTTTAACTTCATTAAGCCAAAGGTACAAAAGACACCCCTTCTCTCAGCCGTGTATACCCCGAACCAAATAGTTTTCAATTTTTTTACCCTGTTGCGTTTATGCATATACTGATACGTACTTGGCATGTATATCTAGGATCAAGTAGCTTTATAAACATAAATTCAACGAATATGAAATAAAAAAGCCCTATCTCTTCTCATTCAAAAGTTATGATCAAGGTTAAAATGTTTGTGACAGAGTGACAGACAAATCAGATTTAGTCCCATCGCTTTTGCGAAAGCGGGGGGCAATATTGGCTTGATTGGACATACAATATTCATTGGTATCCATTTGGACAATCGACTTTACTCCCTCTATCATCGTCGCAAACCACGGCCAAGATGTACGACCCTCTCGGTTCTGGAGAGAGCTATATATGCGAACTCCTAATAGTGGCTTGAGACAATACCCCATACTCCTATATGCACGTTATTTTTTGTAGATTATGCCGACATGCAAGGTAATTATGTTAACACGCAACATTAAATATACCAATATGCAACACAACTATGCTGATATGGAAGAAAAAAATTGAACAGATAGGAATTTGGGAAATTTCATAAATTATCAAATATTTCCGTCAAATGTAAAGGTCAAGGGGTCGAAAATCATATGACTTCCAACATGGTGCATGCAACTTATCTATGCTTTAATTACAACTTATTTATGTTGACACACAACTTATTTCATGTTGACAAAAAACCTATTTTTTCGACATTTAATTTATTTGTTGCAACATACTGTGACCGTGTGAAATGAACAGATTTTGAGTCACGAGTATATTCTGTGATAGTGCTAAGTAAAACATAATTATAGACCTTGGCCGCAAGACATTTGATGCTACCTGTGCCTGAGTGAACATATTAATTATTATTCAATTAATTTAATTATGTCAATTATGTCCATCTGCTTAGAGTATTTCTTCATTTTAATTGTTAATTTCACCATTGTTATAAATTGGCCGTGTCATACATGATCGTCAGTTGGAAACTGGACCTTGCACTGTCCACGCCGACATACAGATCGTGTAGAAACGCCAAGTTTGGATCGTTAATAAAATTTTGTATTTGTATTTTATTTGAATATTAAACGAAGTAATACTATTTTTATTCATGTCAAACTATTGGTTAATTAACTTATTTTGCATGTTAACATATCTCGCATGTTAACTTTAATAAGATGCTGAACACCAATCAAGCTCAAAAGACACATTCGGAACAAAACAAACACATGTAGACTCTAAAACATCAGAGATAGGATCACAGTCATGAAGAAGTAAGAAACTCATGTCGACCTGTCACACCCACCGTGAGCTTATCGTCATAATAGGGTAAACAGAAGAAACCCTACATAATTCAATGTGAAAACACACCTTCCTGACTTTTTTAATTGCAAAGGTGTAATTTCAATACCCATTTTGGTGGATTTTCAGAGGCAAAGGCACAATCCTTCATAAGTTTTTATAGGATGTCTTGCAATAATACTGTATTCTCTAAATATAATTGTACATCTATGAACAACTCAAGCATGAAGGTTTTTTTTTTTCAAATCATTTATTGACAAAGTCCATGTGTTGAAAAACTGATATCTAAAATGCAGTTATATCAAACTTACTTAAACATATGTAATTATGCTTAAATCACAAAATAATAGAACACTTTCGATCTATGACATAATACAGATTTACATTTCTATATTGATACAAATTGTACATTATTGCCGAATGTCGTTTTTTTTTATAAGTATTTAGTTTCTTTATATGTTATCATAAGCAATGTGAGAATAAACTTAATTGTGAGAATAAACTTAATTGAAAATTAAACTGCCTTTACTTTTTGTTTTAGAATTTTTTTTTTTACTTAGAGCATGTTCATGCTTATCGGATTAACTGGGAAACATAAACTCCATATGCAGGTTATGATGGTATATTGCCACATAAAAAGGAAAGTTGATGATGAAAGAGTTAAAGTCATCAAGTTTTTGATAGAAATTTGTTATGGTCTGCATGTTAACTTAAAATTACATATCAACATAAATATGTTGCATGTCATCATACATGTAAATAAGTTTAGTGTCAACATTGAAAATTTGCATCTAAAATGTATCGTTTAT